TTTCATGTGCTGATTGGCATTCTCTCTCTCTTCTTTGGAGAAAAACCTATTCAAATCCTTTGCTCATTTTTATTTTTTATTTATCTTTTTTAAGATTTATTTATTTTAAAGAGAGCGTGAGCAGGAGGAGGGGCAGAGGGAGAGGGAGAATCCTCAAGCAGACTCCCTGCTGAGTGCGGGCGAGATGCAGGGCTTGCCCTGCATGACCCTGAGATCATGACCTGAGCCAAAATCAAGAGCCAGCTGCTTAACCAACTGAGCCACCCAGGCACCCCCGCCCCGCCCCCATTCATTTTTAAATTGGATTGTTTTTTGTTAAGTGGTAAGACTTCTTTCTATATTCTGTATACTAAACCCGTATCCTATAAATGATATGCAAATCCTTTCTCTCATTCTGTAGGTCATCTTTTCACTTTCCTGATAATTTCTTTTGATGGACAAAAGTTCTTAATTTTTATGAAGTCTTTGTACCCTGCAACTTTGCTGAATTCACTTATTAGCTCTAGTAGTTTTTCAGTGGATTCTTTGGGATTTTCTATATGTCACTTGCAAATAGTTTTACTTCTTTCTTTCCAATTTGGGTGCATTTTATTTCTTTTTGTTGTTCAAATGCTCTGCCAAGACTTTCAGTACTATGTTGAATAGCAGTAGTGAACTTACGAATCCTTATTTTTTAAAATCCTTTTATTTTTTAATTTAATTCAATTAATTAATGTATTATTGGTTTCAGAGGTACAGGTCTATGACTCATCAGTCTTCTATAATACCCAGTGCTCATCACATCACATGTCCTCCTTAATTTCCATTACCCAGTTACCCCATCTCTCCACCCTCCCTCCCCTCCAGCAACACTGTTTGTTTCCTATGATGGTTGTCTCCCTTTCTGGTTTCGTCTTGTTTCATTTTTTTCCTCACTTCCCCTATATCCTATTTTGTTTTTTAAATTCCACATATCAAAAAAAAAAAAATAAATTCCACCTATCAGAGAGATCATATAATTGTCTTTCTCTGACTTATTTCACTTAGCATAATACCCTCTAGTTCCATCCACATCATTGCAAACAGCAAGATTTCATTTTTTTTTTTTTTTGATGGCTGTGTAATGAATCCTTATCTTGTTCCTGATCTTAGCAAGGAAGCTTTAAGTCTTTTGCCACTAAGTATGCTAGCTGTGGGTTTTTCATAGATGCCCTTTATTATGTTCTGGAAGCATTCCTAGTTTTCTGAGTGTTTCTGTCATGATAGGGTATCAGATTTTGTCAAAAGCTTTTTCTGCATCAATGGATCTCATGGTTTTATTCCTTTGTTCTATTAACGTGGTGTATTACATTGATTTTCTTTTTTTTTTTTTTTAAAGATTTTATTTATTAGACAGAGACACAGCGAGAGGGAACACAAGCAGGGGGAGTGGGAGAGGGAGCAGCAGGCTTCCTGCGGAGCAGGGAGCCTGATGCAGGGCTCGATCCCAGGACCTTGGGATCACGACCTGAGCCGAAGGCAGACGCTTAACCGACTGAGCTACCCAGGTGCCCCGATTTTCTTTTGAACTACTCTTGTATTTCTCTGATAAATCCCACTTGGTCATGGTGTTTAATCTTTTAAATGTGCTGTTGGGGGGTGCCTAGGTGGCTCAGTCCATGATCTCAGAGTCCTGGGATCGAGCCCCATATCAGACTCCTTGCTCAGCTGGTAGTCTGCTGGAGATTCTCTCTCTCCCTCTGCCCCTCCCCTCCTCTTTCCCTAAAATAAATAAATCTTTAAAAAAAAAAATGTGCTGTTGGATTTAGTTTGTTAGTGTCTTGTCAAAAATTTTTGCATCTATATTCATAAAGGATATTGGTCAATAGTTTTTTTTTCCTTGTTATCTTTGTCTGCAGTCCACTTAACTTTAAATCTATAACTAAGATGAGAAATAAGCCAATTCTGTAATTCTGAGCTGATCATAGTAGTGGCAGATAAAGAATATTATCAAAAGAAATTTTAAATCTTCCTGAGACATAAAATCCATGACTTTAGTGATTTAAACTTGAAAGACATTTTCTTGTGTCTACTATAGAGAATGCTGTATACTTGGCATGGAAAGAGATGTTTGTCTAGGGTTCCAAGATGGCTAGTTATTAGATAAAATAATAATTTGGCCTCACGACTCCCTCGGATAGAAGGAAGGTCCGGGTCTTGAGAAGGAAATGGTTAGTGAAACATAGAACGTGAAAGACATGAGCACCCTAATATAGAACAAAAGGTTTTTCTTGACTTTTGTTTCATTCCACCTTCCCATTAGAGAAAAAAGTTTATCTTATTTTCTCAATGTATTTCTGTAGATGACTATCTTTCTATTATATTTCCTAGGCATTTAGAAACCTGGGGTTAAGAGCAAAAGCTCACTGCCTGATTATGTTTGCACTGATAGTTCAAAGATATTTTAACACTGACCCGCCCGGATTCCTCATCTTCCTTCAAACTGTTCCCTATCAGCCAGGGTGGAGGGGACACGGGCACGGAGGGACTCGACAGAGTAGAGCTGGCCCCGTTCTCCCCGCGCCTCTCTCCTGCCTCGCCGCCTGCCGCCGATCTTATAGACCTGCCTTAATACAAGCTGAAGGCAAGTGCGCGGGCTTGGTCAAGCCTGGGAACAGAGTCTGTGGCATCTCAGGGAAAGCATTTTGCCCTTGCTGGCTGTGGGGACCCTGTGGACACAGCCATGGAGCTTTCCCTTGGCTGGGCTTGTGCTGTGCCAGGCACAGCAGCCGCATACTACAGTGCAGCCTGGACACCATCAAACCAGTGTGAGAAAACCTTACATGCGGAGAGGGAGGGAGGTGTGCACACTTAACAGAAGAAAAACTGGTCCTCTGGCATTCTTTCAGTTAGGTTCTTTATAGCTTGGATGAAGGCCTGGTGTGCTTTAGCGGTGTGGCAAGCCTGTGCAAATAAGTGACATTTCTGAAGTACCTTCTCTAAACTCCTTTCTACTAATTAAGTGAAGCTAGACAGCAGTGCTGGCTCGTTCCTTCAGCTTCACGTTCGTACACATGCCTACGACCCAGGAGGGGCAAGCTGTGAGGGTTACCACAAGAGCCTGTGGTCTCCAATGTCATTAGATGAAGACCAGGAAGAAAGGGTGGCTGTTGCCAGACATGCAAACGGCACAGCTGCGGGCCAGGCATCTCCCCAAGCTCTACCAGGATTTCTAGAGACAGGGAACTGCTAGCTTCACTGTCACTGTGACCCCCATCCTCTGCTGGGGCCTTTCTTGCAGCTTGGGAGCTGCAGGTGGGCCCTAGGGATGGGAGTCTTTTTTGGGCTTGGCCATTGCAGGGTCAGTCAGCTCAGGCAGTGGAGGAGTCCAGCTGATCTTCTGGCTGTGCAAGGATGACTGGGTAGGGCACCACAAGGCTATCCCTAAGTCATTAGGTCGAGCCATAGGAAATTGTCAATATTTGACCATTCTGACCTTTGAAAATGGCTATTTCATGTGGTTCAACCTAAATTTTTGGTTCAACCTAAACTTTTAGTAAGGGGAAAGAAAGGAAAGAAACTGAAGCCCAGACTACTATCTGCAGTAGATTCTATTCAATCTATTAGAAGTAGAATAGGTTTCCTAGAACATTAGTCTCCCAATTCATTTTTTCATCTTTCATTTGTTTTAAGGTTCTGTTATGGGTTGAACTGTGTCCTCCCAAAAGGTATGCTGAAGTCCTAATCCCCCACCTCATAATGTGAGCATATTTGGAAATGGGGTCTCTTTTTTTTTTTTAAGTAGGCTCCACGACCAGCGTGGAGCCCAGTGCAGGGCTTGAACTCACAATCCTGAGATCAAGACCTGAGCTGAGACCAAGAGTTAGATGCTTAACTGACTGAGCCACCCAGGGGCCACAGAAATGAGGTCTTTATTGAGGTAATCGAGTTAAAGTGAGGTCATTAGTGTGGGCCCTACCAATGACTTGGTGTCCTTATACAAAGGGGGAAATTTGGTCAAAGGGAAGATGATGTGAAGGCAGTAGTGATGCATCTACAAACCAAGGAATGACTGAGGCTACCAGCAGCTAGGAGAGAGGCTTGAGCAATTCCTTCCCTATGGCCTTCAGAGGGAGCTTGGCCTTGTAGAAACCTTGATTTTGTACTTCTGGTTCCCAGAACTGTGAGGCAATGAGTTCCCGTTTTTTTCAAATCACCCAGTATGTGGTACTTTGTCATGGAAGCCCTAATGTGAAGGTCTGAATGTTTGTTCCTGCTCCTGCCTTCCTATGTTGAAATCTTAATGGTATCAGTAGGTGGGCCGTACAGAAATATGTAAGTAATGAAGTGGAGCCCTCATGAGTGGGGTTAATGCCCTAAGAAGAGGATCTAGAGGATCTCTAGCCCCTTCTACCACATGAGGACATAGTGAGAAGGCGCCAGCTATAAGCCAGTAAGCTAGCCCTCACCAGAGGTGACTGTGCTGGTGTTCTGATCCTTAACTTTCTAGGCTCCAGAGCTGTGAACAAGAAATTTCTGTTGTATACAAGCTACCCAAGTCTGTGGTATTTTGTTATAGCAGCCTGAATGAAGATACCTAGGAAGTAAATATAGGTTCCTTCCAGTGATGATCAACCATGTTGTTGGTAAGACACAACAGGACAGCTTATGTTAAAAATGGTACTGTTGTTTAATCCCTAGGATCCAGATCTGAGGTATTCATTCATTCCTATAGAACTAGTTGGACTTCCTACCGTGGCCAAAACCATTTGTTTGGATACAATAAAGTTAAGCTTTGTTCTTTCTTTCTTTCTTCCTTCCTTCCTTTTTTCTTTTTTGATGTAGTGTTCCATGATTCATTGTTTGCATATAACACCCAGTGCTCCATGCAAAATGTGCCTTCTTTAATACCCATCACCAGGCTAACCCATCCCCCCACCCTCCTCCCCTCCAGAACCCTCAGTTTTGTTTCTCAGAGTCCATAGTCTCTCATGGTTTGTCTCCCCCTCCGATTTCCCCCACTTTGTAACACACACACACACACACACACACACACACTCTCCTTCTTTTGGTTTTCTGGCTTTTCAAGTTTGAGTTTCAATGTGAATTTTTTCTTCAGTCTGCAATGGGGCAGATATCATGCTTGTGCAACCTTAAGGAGCCCATTCAAATTTAGGAGAACCAGAAATTTATTCTAAGGAGACACAAAGAATTGTTGATACCGTCACACGGAGTCCTTCTGTGTTAAAGAGTTTAGAAGGTGGAAATAGAGCTCCTGGAGTTGTATTCCGAAGATTTGTTGAGGAAGATCAGTGTTAGCAGGCTTCACCCTCTGGGGGACTCAAAAGTAGGTAAGTAGAGCAGAACTGAAGACAACAGCTTCTTCTGGAGGGAAGGAATGCAGATTGGTGTAGAATGCACCAGAAGCTCTTTTATGTCAAACTTTTTTTAGGATCCAGTTTTACAAATAAACCTAAACAAACAAAACAACAGAAGGTGATTGTAAGTCAGCTGACTGCAGTCAAAAGGGACTTCTCTGAGTAGAAATATATAGGTAAGGAAAGGGATTTTTTTAAAACATGTTTATTTAACAGAAGCACCTTTCATTTTTATTTATTTCTTAAAAAGATTTTATTTATTTGACAGCGAGAGAGGGAACACAAGCAGGGGGAGTGTGAGAGGGACAAGCAGACTCCCCGCTGAGCAGGGAGCCCGATGCGGGGCTCAATCCCAGGACCCTGGGATCACGACCTGAGCCAAAGGCAGACACTTATCGACTGAGCCACCCAGGCGCCCCAGGAAAGGGATTTTGATTCATATTTGTACCTTCCATCTTTGGGCCTACTCTCCTTTCTTAGCCAAATTAAGAGTCAGCTTTTGACTATCACAATACAATAGTGCCTCTGGGAACCGGTCCTCTCCCACTTGGGTCATTTCATGGTTCATTACCACTTCCATTAGAGATAGTCAGGAAAGTGAAAGGAAGTGAAATTACAACTAAGCCATCTGGAACCTTTGATACTGAAAGCCTTAGGGAGATAGGACACATAAACCACAGCCTGGAATGGAGTCTTTAAATTGACTATGGATTCCAATTATTCAGGATCTTATTCCTGCTTCTTTTATCCATTATTTCTGCAAACAGATGATACTTGGCAGGGAGTGGGGAGGAGGAACGAATAATAAGACACAAAAAGCATTAATGATAAAGGAAAAAAATGTAATTAAATACAACTATAGTAACATGAAAAAAACCTTCTGTTCATAAAAAAAAGATACCTTAAGGCAAATAAAAGTTAACTTACATACTGGAAGGTGCAGTTATACGTCCAATAAAAACATTAATACAAAATACAGAAAGAACTCCTGTAAATCAGTTAAAAAAAGGAGGTGGGGACAGCAAAAGAGGCTGAACAAATAGGAATTTTACAGAATGGGAAACAAATATGATAAATGTATGAGGAGATGCTCATTTTCATAGGTGATCAGAAAAATGCAAATCAAGATCACACAGAGATAATACTATATAACCATTTGATTGGCAAAAATTCAGAAGTCTGACTTTACCAAATGCTAGAAAAGACAGGGATCAACAGAATCTCATATATTGCCGGTGGGAGTATAATTTAGTAACAGCTTTAGAAAACAAGCTGGTGTGTTCCCCTGTGAAGTTGAATACTCCCATACTCTACAACCCAGAAATTCTACTCCTAACTATACGCCAAGCTCTCGTCCGTGTACACCACCAGAACGTTCACAGCAGCCCATTCACAAGAATCCAAGGCCCATGGGAGACCTGGTGTCAGTTAGGCTACCAACTCTTGATTTCGGCTCAGGTCATGATCTCAGGGTTGTGAGATCGAACCCCACATCAGGCTCCAGGTTGGGTGTAGAGTCTGCTTAAGATTCTCTCTCTCCCCACCCCTGCCACACCTCCACTCCCCATCCCTCTCTTTAAAAGAGTCCAAAGTCCAACATCTAAAGAGGAGATAAATCCACTGTGGTATACTCACACAGTGGAGTATCACTAAACAGGAAAAATGAGGAAACTACGTGCCAACAACAGAGTGAACTTCAGTAATGTGAAGCTGAATGAAAAGAAAATCAACTCCCAGAAATGTACATATAGCGTGATCTCTTTTGCAAAGTTCAGAACAAACAACTAAACTGTACATTCCTATCAGAGAAAGACAAGTATCATATGATCTCACCGATATGAGGAATTCTTAATCTCAGGAAACAAACTGAGGTTGCTGGAGTAGTGGGGGGCGGGGGCGATGGGGTGGCTGGGTGATAGACATTGGGGAGGGTATGTGCTATGGTGAGTGCTGTGAATTGTGTAAGACTGTTGAATCACAGACATGTAACTCTGAAACAAACAATACATTATGATAAAAAAAAAAAAAGATGGTAGGAAGGGAAAAATGAAGGGGGGGATCGGAGGGAGAGAGGAACCATGAGAGACTATGGACCTGAGAAACAAACTGAGGGTTTTAGAGGGGTGGGGGGATGGGTTAGCCCGGTGATAGGTATTAAGGAGGGCACGTATTGCATGGAGCACTAGGTGTTATATGCAAACAATGAATCATGGAACACTACATCAAAAACCAATAATGTAATGTATGGTGACTAACATAATAAAATAAAATAAAAAATATAAACAAACTGTACATTCCTCAGATACACACATATATTCTTGATACAACTTATGAAAATAACAAATTAGGTATAAGTGAATAGAACACTGTATTTTAATTATACTTCAAAAATTTCAGGGGAAAGCAGGAGGATGAGATGGGAAAGTAATTAGGGAGGGGTATGCTATTAAGATTCTGGTTCTTGGCTGATGGTAGGTGTTCAGGGTGTTTCTTTTTAAGTCGAAAAGTACATCAGTGAATGAATAAATAAAAAGATGACTGTTTCATGCATCAAGGATGCCTATTGTGTCCTAACTCAAAGATTCTGATTAAGCCAAACCTGGGCATCTGAGGTCCCTTAAAATAAAACAGAATAGAAACAAACAAAAAGCACCAGATATCTAAATTAACTTGTCTACATCTGAAGCTATGGAACGTAAGGCTTCAACAAGGGCTCTTCCCTTGCAAAGGCTCCGTCAGAGCAGGGGCTGGGAGTGCTCAGGGATGCAGTCTGGAAGCACTTCTGATAAACTGCTCATGGGGAGCACAGAGGGAAGGGCCCTGCATCCCTAGACAGCAGCAGCAGGAGCATGCTGTGGTTTCTTTCCTCATTTTAAATAAAAAACGCACATTTGTACCCAATTTTGCATTCTTTTTCTTTAATTTCTTAAACTGTGCAAGCTTTAGGTGCCACAAAACCTAGCTCTTGTCCTGCTAATCCACTGACATAATCATGTCGCAAGGTACACAAGGGCCTACGGTGGACTCTCCCTCCAACCTACCTGGTCCTCTTTCCAGAGGAAACCAATGTTTGGGTCACATTCCTGAAGGTCTATGCAACACAAGAATATACAGATATTTCCCCCTCCCTCCCATGTATTACTTTTTACTTTGAAATGTCAAACTGACAGAAAAACTGTGAGACTAGTACAAAGAATGGTCTCCTCTGGAACCACTGGAGATTAACTTGCCAAAATGTGTGTAAAATGACAATATACGAAGTTACTCACAATGTTATTTCTAAGAGCAAGAGACTAGGAAAACATTCATGTCCAAGATCTCCAATTCCAACCCAACACCACAGGGTTCATTCTAGTTTTCTCTTTCCGTATCTGGAAATCCCTTCTCTGACAGTAAGGCACCTGGCTCCCCTCTCAGCTGCCAGCCCGTGTAAACGCCACCATCCCGCATAGGCTCTGACACGCTGCACTGAGCCACTTGCCCGTGTGGACACCCTCTTCACTCCACTCAGGCTCCAACCCGATGCTTGGCCCCCACAGCGACACCTTGCTGCAGCCTCCAGGCCAATCCCAAGCCTACCATGCCCACTCTACCTAATGGCTTTTGGAATAAATTATTCAGGAAGGAAGGAAGGAGTAAAAGGGAAAGAGGGAGAAAAGGGGAAGAGAATGCAAAGATCTCTCTACATTTTCTCTATTAGTGATAATGATACTACATGCACAGTCCTGCATGTTGTGCTTTTCATTCAATATGTATTGAGACAGCCCCATAATTAAAGAATGTCCTTATTACTTATGGCACCATAATATGCCACAAAATGTTTTGTGGCACACACACTGTGGTTGCTCAACCAGCCTCCTACTGATGGGTAGCTATGTTTCGGCAATCTTCTGCTATTCCAAATAGCTTCACATGAGTAACACACTTACTGTGACAGCAGGGCAACACAAACATTGTAATTTTGCACACTTTGGTACACCTGTGGGATCAGGTCCTGGAAACAGGTGAAAAAGAGCACACGACTTTGTAGTTTTGATAGATTTTGGCAAGTAGCTCTCTACCAGTAATGTTTAAGAATACCTTTAACTTGTTTTTTTACACGATAGGGCATTGAGAATTTCTGGGCATTTGCGGGTTATAAAACCAAAGCAAAACAAAAACAAAACCCAACAACTCCCAAGCCCCCAAATACAAAACCCAAGAAACTAAACCAGACCAAAAAAAGACATAGTGATAGTTTCTTACTTGTTGCCTCAGAGTATAGGGTCTTTTCATCCACACTTTGGACATTACAGGAAACAAACAATTTCCTTCCTTCAACTTTATCAAGCTGGCTATTTATCACAACAACAGAACAAAGGGGGATAGGCCTGCACAAGAAAAAAAAGGGGACAAAATTTGTTTTTATTAATGTAACACTGAGATGACCAAGTGTTTGAGAAGGGGTGGAAATCTATAATAGCTGGTATCAGCATGTGTCAGATAAAACTGTCTCAGATCAGACACCCCTTCCCTGGGCTGAACCCAGGGGCCATCCACACCCCCCTTCCTCCTGAGTGCCACTGATTTCAGGTGGGCCCAGGCTGCCCTTGGCATTAGCTTCAGAGACCACTGGGGATTCTAGCTTTTCGATGGCAGAGGCTGTCCCATCTGAAGACCCAGAGCAAAGTCTGAAGGGTGCTGGAATCCTTTAAAGACATGAAAACAGGACCATGGACTATGGGATGGTCCCATCAGCAGCTCTCATTTTCTATCATAATCCAAATTTCTCACCCAATCCCCTTTAGAGTGACTGTCACTAGAAAGACACCCAATAACAACAAATTGCAGTAACAGCTTAATGTACTAAGCCGGGGCTGTCCAAGAGAACTTTCTGTGGTGATAGAAATGTCCCACCTCTGAGCTGTCCAATACAGTAGCCACCTTACAATGAATACCCAAAATGTGGCCGCTGTGAATGAGAAATTGAATCTTTAAATTTATTTAATGGATTTATATTTAAATTTAAATAGCTACATGTGACCAGTGGCTACAGTCGCCTTTGGGAATCCTGGAGACAGAGTGCCATGATGAAAAAGGTGCCTTTTCAAAGGTGAAATGTTATTTGGCAGAACCATAACGTGGAGCAGGATGGGTTCTGTGCTCCCTCAGTGCCCCCATGGAAAGGAACTCCTCCAGGCAGAAGGAAAGTCATCACAGTGATTACCTCAGCCCAGTTTTCGCTCCCATTAGCTTGTCCTGAACCTCCTGATGGAACAACCAAACTTTGCTTTTATTTCTTTAAACATCTCCTTATATCCTCTGCTATACTGTGTGTCTGATTATCACGGTATCTTACGTCCCCGAGGGACTAAATCTGTTATTTACTCTTTCTGCTGATTCTCACTTCTGGTGGTTTACTTCCTCATGGCTTATATCCTTGTAAATTTGGCACAGGATCTACTGTTCTAAAGGAAAAATGTCCTTCAGAATTTCTTGTCTGCTATGTTGCTTGCAGAAGTCTAACCTAGGGCTTCGCAATCAATATGCCATGAATAACTTGCAAAAATGCTGAGCTATCGATTCTTTCACAGCTGGCTAGCTACCACTAATCATTAACTGCTTTGGTTATTTATCTGAATATGCTAAACACAAAGTATGACATTTGTATCGGGTGTCAGGAAATTATCAGACCTGAGGAAGAGGCAGTCTCGCTTCTTAGAAGGAGGGTGGCTTAAGACACCCCATGCTTGACACTGTAAATTATCAATTAAATTTAATCCCAGGTTGTTATTTCTAGTCCCCCAGAGGGCCACCAATTGATTGATTTAAATTTATAATTATTACTATTATTATTATGAATCTGACAACTATACACAACAGATAAGGCCTGACAAATGTTAAACTACAGCTAACCCTTGAACAATGTGGGAGTTAGAGGCACTGACTCGTGCACAGTCAACAACCCATGTGGAACGTGACCGCCCCAAAATGTAACTCTTAATTGTCTACTGTGGACCAGAATCCTTACTGATAATATAAGCAGTCAATTAACACATATTTTTAAGTTATATGTATTTTCCACTGTATTCTTACAATAAAGTAAGCCAGAGAAAAGAAAATGTTAAGAAAATCATTAAGAAAGAGAAAATACATTTACAGTACTGTATTTATTGAAAAAAAAACCCAAGTATAAGTTGACCTGTGCAGTTCAAAGCTGTGTTGTTCAAGGATCAACTGTACTTACATCACCCAATGCTTTATTCTGGTCTTTAATCATCAATTAATAGAAAAGAATGAAGGCTGTGTGTTGTAGTGAAGAGCACCAAAGATTCAGAAAACTTCGGTTCTGATCCTGACTGTAGTCTCTCTATCCATGTTGATTTCATGGAAAACTGGTTTTTAGTAAGATTTCTAACCGTGGGTAACAAATGAACAGCAACAGAATGGATTTATGTGGATAGTTTGTTGGATGGGACAAGGACTAAGCATAGGGCCTGGCAGGTAGCATGTGCTCAAGACACAAACACTTGTTAAGTTAAACTGTAATCCAAATATTTCGCTGACCTTGTTTTCAAATGAACCTTTTTTAATTGAGAAGGGAGGCTGTAGTATTCTTCAACTTTATTTGAACAAGAAAAATCTTTTTTTAAATTTTTATTTTATTCATGAGAGACAGAGAGAGAGAGAGAGAGGCAGAGGGAGAAGCAGGCTCCCAAGGAGCAGGGAGCCCGATGCGGGACTCGATCCCAGGACCCCAGGATCATGACCTGAGCCGAAGGCAGACGCTTAACCATCTGAGCCACCCAGGCGCCCAAGAAAAATATTTTTAAAAAAACATGGAACATGGGGCGCCTGGATGACTCAGTCGTTAAGCCGAGCCTTCGGCTCAGGCCATAGTCCCAGGGTCCTGGGATCGAGTCCCACATCGGGCTCTCTGCTCGGCAGGAAGTGTGCTTTTCCCTCTCCCACTCCCCCGGCTTGTGTTCCCTCTCTCGCTGTGTCTCTCTCCGTCAAATAAATAAATAAAATCTTTAAAAAAAAAAAAAAATAAATAAAAATAAAAAACACAGAACATGGAAAGATATAAAAACTTAAATTTTAATATATTTTTATCATGTTGAAAAACCATCTCTGGGATCTAATTTTATAGTATAAATATATAATCTGTTTAATGTCAATATATAAAAAATATACACTGTATATATGTATAAAGGTATAGATAAATGCATATATATAAATGTATAAAATAAAGTCAACGCATAAAACATTGACTAGGGGCGCCTGGGTGGCTCAGTTGTTAAGTGTCTGCCTTCGGCTCAGGTCATGATCTCAGGGTCCTGGGATTGGGCCCCGCATCAGGCTCCCTGCTCGGCAGGAGGCCTGCTTCTCCCTCTCCCACTCCCCCTGCTTGTGTTCCCTCTCTCATTGTCTCTCTGTCAAATAAATAAATAAATAATCTTAAAAAAAATTTTGACTATATGTAAAGATGACAATTTTCCCCAAGTTAACCTTTAAGTTAATGTAACTGCTATCAAAATCTCATTTTGTTTTTTGGTAGATTTTGACAAATTTATCCTAACTTTCATTTGATTCACTCAAATGATACAGAGAGATGGTAGGTAAGACACAGCATTATATAAGAGAAGGTATGATGACAGTCTGGGTGAGCAGTTAAAAATCTCAAATACAACTAGGAATAAAGGAAACTACCTCAACATAATAAAAGTCATATAAGAAAAGCCCTCAGCTAACATAACACTCAATGAAGAAAGACCGAAAGCTTTTCCTCCTAGATCAGAAACACAACAAGGATGCCTACTTATGTCACTTCTATTCAACAATTCCATTTTTATACATTAACAGTGAACAATCAGAAAAAATTAAGAAAATAATTATTTAAAAAAACATAGAAAAATAAAATACTTAGGAATAAACATGACCAAGGAGGCAAAAAAAAAAAAAATGTACACTGAAAACTACAAAGCCCTATTAAAAGAAATTAAAGACACATATAAATGGAAAAATGTCCTGTGTTCATGGACTGGAAGAATATACTGTTAAGATGTCAATACTACACAAGGCAATTTATAGATTCAATGCAATCCTAGAAAATCCCAATAGCATAATTTTTTGTAGAAATTGAAAAATCCATCCTAAAATTCATAGGAGTCTCAAGGGACCCTGAATAGCCAGAACAGTCTTAGGAGAAAAAAAAAAAAAAGCTGCAAGTCTCACACTTCCTGATTTCAAAACACTTTACAAAGCTATAATAATCCAAACAGTGTGGTACTGGCATTAGACAGACATACAGACCAATGAAATAGAACAGAGAGCCCAGAAATAAACCCTCTCGTATTGGTCAAATGATTTTCATTAATGGTATTAAGACCACTCAATGGAGGGTGCCTGGGTGGCTCAGTGGGTTTAAACATCTGCCTTCCCAGGGCAAGCTCCTGGGACTGAGTCCCACATTGAGCTCCCTGCTCAGCAGGGAGTCTGCTTCTCCCTCTTCCTCTGCCCGCCCCCTACTCATGCTCTCTCTCTCTCAAATAAATATTAAAAAAAATGCAAATCAAAGCACAATGAGATATCACCTTATATCATTAGATGGCTACTATCCAACAAAAATAAAACCCAAGATAACACATGCTAGCAAAAAGATGCGCTGTTGATGGGAATGTAAAATGATGCAGCTGTTATGGAAAACTGTATAGTGGTTCCTCAAAAAATTAAAAATAGAACTACCATGTAATCCAGCAATTCCACTTTTTGGTACTTATTCAAAAGAACTGAAAGTAAGATTTCACTGAGACATTTGCATTCTCATATTCATTACAGCATTATTTATAATAGGTAAGTAGTGGCAACACCCCAAATACCCAATGATGGATGAATGGATAAACAAAATGTGGTATATACATGATGGAATATTATTCAGCCTTAAAAAAGAAAAAAATCTGGGGTGCCTGGGTGGCTCAATCAGTTAAGTCTCCAACTCCTGATTTTGGCTCGGGTCATGATCTCAGGGTTGTGAGATCAAGCCTTGCACTGGGCTCGGCACTCAGGAGGGAGTGTGCATGAGATTCTCTTCCTCTCCCTCTCTCTCTGTCCCTCCCCCACTTGCTCGCCCTCTCTAAAATAAATATATCAATCTTTGAGAAAAAAAAAGAAAATGAAAAAATCCTGTCACCTGCTACAACATGGGCAAAACTTGAGGACATTTTGCTAAGTAAAAGAAGCCAGTCACAAAAAGAGAAAATGTATGATTCCACTTACATGAGGTAAGTCAAATTCATAGAAAGTAGAATGGTTGCCAGGAGTTGTAAGGACAGGAAAATAGGGAGTTAAGGTTTAATGGGTATAGAGTTTCAGTTTTGCAAGATAAACAAGTTCTGAAGATTAGTTTCACAACAATATGAATATATTTCACACTACTCAAAAAAATGTTAATATAAAATGTAAGGCACAAAGCCCATTAAATCTAAAAATACCACTGTGGGGATGCCTGGGTGGCTCAGTCGTTAAGCGTCTGCCTTCGGCTCAGGTCATGATCCCAGGGTCCTGGGATCGAGCCCTGCACTGGGCTCCCTGCTCACCCCTCTGCCTGCTCTGCCTGCTGCTCCCCCTGCTTGTGCGCTCTGACAAATAAATAAAATCTAAAAAAAAGAAAATTAAAATACCACTGTGAACTCATAACCTTATTAAACATTAAAAACTTTCCAGCTGTGACACAGAAATGGCCCAGCAGCAAGGTTATCCTACCCACCATGAGAACACATCTAGTATTTTCCTAGTCTTTTGCAATATTCTCCACTAAAAAGAAATCAGCAATCTTTATAGTGTAGCTACTCTGTCTTGGCACAGATACATCTCGTTGTTGCTAAAATGAAAGTAATGATAATAACAACATTAACGATAATAATATTAGCAGCCAACACGTACTGAGGACTTGTTATGTGGCCAGATACTGTTTTAAGTTCTTTATATGCATTCATTCATTTACAGCTCATAATGACCCTATATGGTGGATATTATGATCCTCTTTTTAAAGATGAGGAAATTAAAGCACAGAGAGGTTAAGAAACTTGTCCAAGGTCATACAGCTGGTAAGCGGCAAAACAGGCATTTGAACCTGCTCCAAAGTCTGTCCTCTTAACCAGTACGTTATACTGTCTCTCTGGAGACAAAAGTACTTAAAAATCCATCTGGATAGAATTGAAAGGACAGGAAGCAGTCTAAAGAGACTCCTAACAGGCCAAATGCAATTTAAACACAGAAAAGAGGGTGATAATTATGGTTAACCACGTTATGGAAAGCCAGGAGTCCCTAATGATTCTCAAAAAAGGAAAAAAACTAACTCAAGAATTATAAAACTATAGCTATAATTCAAAAATAAGGATGGCTATGATCAGGTAAGTTGAATTTTTTAAGCAATTACTTATAGTGAACAGTGCAGACAAGTATATGTCTGCCTCACAGTATTTTACTCTATGAAAGGACATGGTAGAACACAGAGTGAGGGATGTGTATAGGTCAGGTTTGGGGAGGCTGCACTGGAAGAATTATGTTTACACAACCATGGCATAAACAATCTGGTAGTTTTCTGAGCTGTAAGGTCAGATCTATAACGGATACCTACATTCAGCAAGAAATCTCCCATGTGTTAGTCAAAAGTGCTTTGATAGCCTACACGAACCGTGGGTAGGCAAAGACCTGGACAACCCTCAGCATCAGGGCTGTTACCTCTTATGTCCCCTCAAAGTGTGTGAGGTACAGGTGAGCTGAAAGGTGAAAGGAACATCTATGTACATTTGGTGGATTTACACCCACGGACAAATGCCATTTGGGGATTTATTAAAGTCCAGCACAGTCTCCGTAAGAACCCTCACTAACCCTCTCCCCCACACCAACAGGCAGAGAACTGTCAGGAAGCCAAACAATTCCAGAAAATGCAGGAATCGTACCCTTAACAGAAAGGCCTGGTTACAGAAAAGAACGAGCTAGAAAGAAGGCAAATGTCTTGCCCAGCTGAATATCTCTGAAAGAAAACTACAGTCTCATGTCCTTGTCTCCCGGGAGATGGAATCTCCACCAATTACAGGAGATGCATTTAATTGTAGGTAAGTGGTAAACCAAAGCGGAAAATATACAACTAAGACACAGTGGACTTGGATACTAAAAAAGGGGAAGTGCTAGGTTAGAAGAAAGGGTGTAGGTTTGGAAAGTCCCTCTGACATGGTAAGGAAATCTTGACTCCAACAGGGGCTCGGCTTTATGAACTCAGGCATGTGTTCCAATCACCCTCAAAGGAAAAATCCTATTCCATTAAGAATCTCCAGGATGACCGCCCAGAACTTACAAATTCGGCTGAGCTGAGACGGTTCGTTTAGGGTCTGACGCAAGTATTGGACACCTAATGAGGCTATGAGAACAAGTATACTAACCTCAGGAAAATAGAAATATTGGCATCCTAGAGAAATTAATCAAGCCTGGAATGAAAAATTTTTAATAAGTGTAGGTGAAATACTAAGTTTTTGAAAAGACTGATTTATTTTAGAGAGATAATGCACAAGTGGAGGGGGGCAGACGGAGAGATTCTTCAAGCAGACTGCCCGCTAAGCGCAGAGCCCGACACAGGGCTCCATCTCACGACCCATGAGATCATGACCTGAGCCAAAATCACAAGTTGGTCGCTTAATCGACTGAGCCACCCAGGTACCCCGAAATAATAAGTTTTATGATCACTGGGATAATTTTGTATTTGACGCATCTGGAAAAAAAACATCGTATTAGGCTTATTATTTTATTTACTGAAGTATTTAGTAACATTTGATTATGTCAGCACTAAAAAGAATTTGTATTGCATAATTTGTAAGTTTGGATTTATTAATATGTCTGTGGTTGTGTTAGTTGTTGACCTTAAATACATTTGAGGGGATAATGACATAGTATATATAAGAAACCACTTTCTCAATCTCTCTTACTACTAATGATGTTAAATGGAAGTCTTGGGCAGAACTTCCGGGAAGTCTCCTAAAAAGAGAGAAGACAGCTCTTCTTCTACCCTTCGTCAGTCCTGCTGTCAGGACATGTGATGGCTCTTGCCAGCACTCAGTACTGTGAAAAGGTGAGCTGGAAGGAGCCTGCGTCTCTGGGAACCAGGGAGCTTGCTGTATCAGCCCAGGATGCCTTCCTCTGGACTCCTTTGCGTGATACATTTCTATCTTGTTTAAGGTGTTTTTTATTTTGAAGCTATGATTACTGGCAGCTGGGGAGGGAGAAGTTAAAGCAGCTGGCCTCCAATTCTTTCATTCTGTGTGTGTTGGGGGGCGGGGGCAGGGAGCAGACAGAAACATTCCCAGGGAAAAGGAGATAAATGACCATGTCTAATTTTTTCCAACTGGCCCTCCAGGTGAACAGACCAGGAATTGGTAAACTATGGCCCCAACGGCCAGCTGCCTGTTTTTGTAAATAAAGTTTTATTGGAACACAGCTATACCCATTTATGTACTGATGTATTGTCTATGGCTGTTTTTGTGCTGCAATGGCAGAGTTGAGTAGTTGTATCAGAGACGTTATGGCCCGCAAAACATAAAATATTTACAGAAAAATTTTTGCTGGCCCCTGAAATAAATAATATTTGCTAGGGGGAAGTGTCCTTTTCTGTAGAATGCTTGGCTAAGGATTACTTATAGTAAACAAACCCACAATCTACGAGGCATGGCTTCCTAATGATGGCCATATACACCATACAACTCTCTGTGGCATAAAATGGAGATGTTTTGTAACTTAAATGCCCCCCACTGTGCAAAGTAATAACCCACAAAACCTTATTTGGAGACCTCATCTATTGAACTGTTCTTAAACTCTGGTTTGCACTATTGCTCCTTCTCTGTTCCTGTGCCAGTGTCCACTGTTTTGTTAACTGTAGGGGTATCGCTGTAGGATTGAAGAATTAAGACCTTGTGGAGCTTTATTTCTGATGGATACCAAACTCATCCTGCTGTCTGCCCTTTTATTTCTGTGTGAAGTTATGAGAAACTTCTATGTTTTGGGGCGCCTGTGTGGCTCAGTCACTTAAGCGGCTGCCTTCCACTCAGGTCCAGGGTCCTGAGATAGAGCCCCGCATCGGGCTCCCTGCTCCGTGGGGAGCCTGCCTTTCCCTCTGCCTCTCTCTCTCTGTCTCTCATGAATAAATAAATAAATAAAATCTTAAAAAAGAAAAAAAAGAAAAGAATGAAAAACTTCTATGTTTTCTTATGTAGTGGTTATTGGTGCTCCACTCAGATCCCCTTCAATCCTTTTTTCACCTTTGTTGTTTTTTTTTTTTTTCCCAGATCCTGCCTTACTCAAACGCAGAGAGCCCAATAGGCCTGGAATTTTGGTCCCCAGGATAGCCCTCATTGTATGACTGATGTGTGAGAGAGCTCCCTTGCTTAAGGTCGGAACAATCCAGAGGCACACATTTCACTCCAGAGCTCCTTGGATGATCAGGCTGAAGGACTTTGGGAGCCCAAGCCTGGTTGGCTTCTCCTTCCCTTTTCCTGTTTTGCTCCTCCCACTCCTGTGCTAGTCTCCCTTGGGAGCACCTCCTTTATCATTTGCACACAAATCTTTGTCTCAGGGTCTGCTGCTGGGGAGCCTGATCCATGACACCTAAGAAGCAGAGAATACCCAGGAATTTACCTTCTAAAACTGATGTTGAGATTGGCAGTCATGACAATTCCCTCAGCTATAAATGCACACATACCAACAGTAGAATCAATCATGGTTGCAATGGCACCTCCGTGAAGGAATCTAGTTACAACAAGAGAAAGAAAAATGTTTTCAGAAGGCTGAAAAACAGAGCCTCTGGAGAGAAATCATCCAAGCACATCTCCATATAATTTACTTATGAAAGGCCCACTTGGTCCATGTTCAATGAACTCAATATCCACGTCCCCAGCTTTATTTTATTCATAGTACAATAGTATAGTATTGGTAATACACCAGAACTTAATGGTAATCAGATCCCAAGCAAGCAGAAAGCTAAAATATAATTTAAGAAATATCATGTTTTAACTGTATATATCATTGTTTAAAAATGTAGGAAATGAAGATAAACAGAAAGAAAAATAAAAATTGTAAGGCCTATAATCCCACCATCTAGTGACAAATCACTGTTAACATGTTAATGATACTCTCTCAAATTATACTGTTGCCCTGTTCCATGCTTTTGTGATTTAAGATTTATAAACATCTTTCCACGTCAAATATGTATATCTACATTGCTACTTCAATGCCTTTACTGTAGTCTATGCATATGTATGACTGTAAGCAATTTTTCATTTTTTTTAAAAAGATTTTATTTATTTGAGAGAGAGAATGAGAGAGAGAGTGCACGAGAGGGAAGAGGGTCAGAGGGAGAAGCAGACTCCCCGCTGAGCAGGGAGCCTGATGTGGGACTCGATCCCAGGACTCCAGGATCATGACCTGAGCCGAACTTAACCAACTGAGCCACCCAGGCGCCCTGTAAGCAGTTTTTCAGACCAACATTTCTATTGATCAATAGGATGCTATCATTCTTACCCAGGTACTCCTTGCAGGTAAGGACCTCCTTGAAATATGCAAACTGTCCTGTTTTCAACATGATTATGGAACATTGCATATTCAAACCCCAGACCTTCCTCAAGGCTTCTGGGAAAGAGCTGGGCTTGTGACATGTGTTCTTTTATAGGCTTTGCGTCTGTAGGGAAATGAGGTGGATGGGCATGAGAAAACACATGTGAGAAAGATGCCCTGACAGAGTTAAGCATCTGTACCTTGCGAGAACCACAGGTTAATGGACGACTGATTAAAATGTTAACCAGGTACAAAATTAGAGGGAATGGGAGCATCCCACAGAAACAGAATATACGATCTTTGCCGTTGTGGACTTAACAGTCTAACTGGGGACATAGTAAACATTAATGAAATCAAAACCAAGTACTTACTCACACATGGCAATCAGGAAATACAGTATATAAATGCTGAGGGCATACTAAATGAAATAGTAAATAAGGTACAGACAGAAAGTCTTCTTGGAATAAGAATGGCTTAAATGGGATTTAAAGAAAATGAATAGTGTAACAGTAGGGAGGTTTCCTTTGCAGAAGTGAGTTTAGCCTTAGCAGAAGAAAGTTATCATACTGAATCAAAACCAGGTCCAGTTCAGTCCAATACTCTGTGTGACTAAGACTCTAAGGCCCCAAACTCAGGGTTAGAAGCATTAAGGTTCGTGAAATCAAATTAGTGAGTTGTAGTCAGACTTAAAACAAACAGAATGCTTCACATATATCCTGGGTAACAACTAGTATACTTGTTTAGATACGCTTTTTCAGTTATACAACTGTGTACAAGTTGTGTGTAGTGGGTTGTGAGTCAAAATGCAGGTCACTTCAAAGCAAAGACTGAAAGCTATTTTCTAAAGGTAGGGCGTGTTTATCCTTACACATCTATGTTAAGATTTAATTCCCAGACTCTGATTTCTTTCTTGGCTCATCATGATTTGCCATGCATAACATTAAGTTTCTTTTATTGTTACTGAATTTATATTTACAAAGTTTGAAAAAGATATGAGATGAGAAGATTTGCGAGAAGCAGGGAGAATGGCTTTTATTTAGGCCATGAACATCCTGTGGGGCAGGCGCCCTGTCTTTTAGACTCTGTACACTCAACAAGCAGCATACTGTGTATGCACACACTATACGCACTCTAGTGGTTGTTGAGAAAATTAAGTTCTTGGCCTAGAACTTGTTCCGTCCTCCACACTTTATCCCTACAGTGAGGAGATAAACCTCAATGACCTCGGAGATCCGTCCAACTCTGACACTGGAACTTCAGGATAAGATAAGCAATAGACCCTTCTAATTTTTTACTTAGGAGTTCAGAATCTCTGATCTAGATTACCAAACCTTGAGATTATTTCATAAAAATGAGAAAAATAAAGATAGTAAAATAAGTTTGTTAGAAATGCAAACTCTTAGGCCCTACCCCTGACCTCCTGAAGCACAGCGTGCGTTTTAACAAGACTCTCAGGTGCCTCATATTCATGTTCAAATCTGAGAGGCACTGGCCTTTTACAACATGGGATAACAATGACGGTGGTAGAGGAGTGACATGGCTGGACTTGCATTTTGAATCACTCTGCCAGCTATTGAAAGGAGGGACTGATGGGGATGAGAAAGATGAGCTAGAGGACCACTGAAACACTACAAAATCATGGTCACCAGCTCATCCTGAGTGAGGTGATGGTCTCCAGTGTGTGAAAGATGATAGGTGGCTAGATTCGTCCAGGGCTGGGGCTTTCCTAGATGAGTAGGCCAGAGAGGTTCAGACAAGTGAGGTCAAAGAATTGCTTCCGTGGGCCCTAAACAAACAAGCTGGAAGGAACACAACCATGGTCAGGAAACAGTGTCTAAACGTGTGAATGTGGAGGTTGTTCACTTGTTGCAGACAAGGCTCAGGATGTCTCTGGCAGTGTGCGGCTGGGGCTGGGCAAAGAAGAGCTCACAGCTGACAGGAAGCTAAGTGAACTGAGGAGTGGCGGAGAACGGTGGGGATTCAGAGGGTGAACCAGGTGTTGAGACACTCAGTATGTGAGGGAGAGGTTGGCAGAAGACAGCAACACAGAGAAGAGGAGGGTGAAATGTCAGACGGTAGAAACCTCAAAGGAATGGGGGTTTCTAAGAGGAACAGGAAGTAATGGGTTGAAAGCACGTGTGGGTAACAAGGAGAACCTCCAAGTCCCCCCCTATTCAGAGAGGGCCACGTTTCAGGCAAGAACCATAAGCCATTTGGGAAAGGAACCCTGGAAAAACACTGATATTTAAGGAGTAGGGAGGAGAGAGAGAAGACTGGTCAGAGGTTTGTGAAAGCCGAGAGAAGTTCCAAGGAGAATGAGATCAACAGTGAGGTCTAGTACTGTAAGGGCCAAAAAATGCCCTCCAAATTTGGTATTTAGGTCACTAGTAGCTTACGCGAAGAAACTTCCATAGAGCTGTTAGGGGAGAAACTAGATCACACTGTTAAAGACACTCAACTGTGTGACAGGATAAAGAGTTGGAATGGAATTAGTAATACAAGTTACTAATTTTTCCCCTTCATTTGTAAAACAGAGTCCTTATTTTTCTCTATTGGAGGTTCTACAAAGAATCTTGTGAACTCTACTGTTTTTCTTGGTTAAAAGTAGTTTTATTGTTATTTCATCCGTTCTTTCAACAAATGCTGAAGTACCTACCATGAGGAAACGGAGGCAAGGAAAGGTAAAGTAACTTGCCCAAGATCATACAGCTTTAAATTGTGGAACCCAATTGGAACCCACACACTAAACTTCAACATTAAAGTAGGAAGTTGTCAGCTTTTGGATGGTGTCCAAAGCCATGTGACTGAATGGGATTACCAACAGAGTATAGAGAAGAAAGGAGTCCTGAGGGCTGAGATGTGGGGCACCCTAACATTAAGAGTTTGAGGATAATGAGGAACCAGCAAAAGACAAAGACAGGAAAGGACCAGTTAAGTAGGGGAGTGTGCTGTCTTGGACGCCAAATTCAAGGGGAAAGGAGGCACTGGCTGTACCAAAAGCTGAGAGGTCATTGGTTAACATCATGAAGGTCACTGTGCCCTTGACAAGAGTAGTTTCAATGGAGTAATAAAATCTGACTGGAGTGGGTTTAAGAGCGAATGGGAAGAGAGAAAGAGAGAGTTGTGGCATGTCTGCACACTGATGAGGAAAGACCCAGCACAGTGGGAGGTCTTTAAATAGTAGGCCAATGGGGAGGGAATGCAGTGCATGGAAACAAAGCTTGGCTCCCCTAAGAGGACGGGCAGTTCATTGGTAACAGGAAAAAGCAGAACACCAGGCACAGATGCAGGGAGTGGATAAATGAGACAGTGGGAGCTTGAAAGTTCTCTTCTGATTGCTTTTATTTTCTCTTAGGGGAACAGGAGGCAAGATCCACTGAAATCAAGGCTTGAGAAGAAGGTAGGTATCCGATATGGCGATCTAGGAGAGCAGGAGCGTGAATAGACAGGGGAAAATGAAAAATGCTTGTCAGGCAACATTAAGGAACTACTTGAGGTCATTTTATTAAAAAAACGTAATAATCCCGGGGAGCCTGGGTGGCTCAGTCAAGCATCTGCCTTCAGCTCAGGTCGCTATCTCAGGGTCCTGGGATCGAGCCCCCCCATATCAGGCTCCCTGCTTGGCAGGGAGCCTGCTTCTCCCTCTTCCTTGGCCCCTCCTCACCCCCTACTTGTGCTTTCTGTGTCTCACAAATAAATAAATAAAATCTTAAGGAAAAACAAACAAAAAACCCATCACAATCCCCAAACTATCCTAAGGATGAGTTTGGAAGACTAAAATATAATGAGTAAATTAGGAAATATCTGTATAAGCTCCATGAGGTCAGGGACCCTATCTGTGTACTCAGGCCTATTCTAGGACTACAGTATCTAGGGCAGCCCAAACGTTCAACAGATAGTTATTGAAGGAATAAATACTGGATTTGCAAATAAGAAGCCAAAAAGGGGGGGCGCCTGGGTGGCTCAGTCGGTTAAGCCTTTGGCTCAGGCCATGATCTCAGGGTGCTGGGATCAAGCCTCACATCGGGCTGTCCACTCAGTGGGGAGTCTGCTTCTCCTTCTCACTCTCCCTCTGTGCTCTCTCTCTCACTGTCTCTCTCTTTAAATAAAATCTTAAAAAAAAAAAAGACTTATAAAAGAAGCCAAAAAGGTCTTTATAGGCTGACTCTAAAAATGAAGAATATATTAGGTATATACATAAACTTCAGTAAGGTTCAACAAACTGGCCACGTAGGTGCAGAAGAGGGGAGACCAACAGTTCACACAAATGTGTGAACTGACTGTTAGTGGCAAGTGGGACATGGCTACCTACCTAGTGCTAATGTCTTATTCTACACTGAAAGGATATAACTGGTTTCAAGCTTAGTTCTGGGAAGCATACACTAAGAAGAATTCTGAGAAACTGGAATATGTCCTGGAAAAAGCAACCAGGCTTGTATAAAGGAGACTGAAATATCCTCTGGGAGAAATACCTGAAAAAACAGAGAAGAGAAGCCTGGCAACAAGAACTGTCAGGCACAGGAGTGAGATGCATGTATCTAACTCCTACACATGAAAGGATGCTTATTCTGTGTGTTCCCAGGTGTGAAAGGCACAAGAGTGACTGTAGCTCAGTACAGTCTAAGGAAGAAATCACTAATAAGTAGAGCTGTCCAAAATGGAAAAAGCCCCTTTGTCCCAAGCACCCTATGACTAGAGGGGTTCAAGTGAAGTCTGGATGAATGGTCCTAAGGGTTAATATGGAAAGCAAGAGAAGACAGAGAAAAGGTTAGACTACAGTAGTGGGTCCCAACCTTCCTTCCATTCCAAAACAAGGGAGCCCACTGTCCTCTCCAACAGCAGTGGCTTAATAAGATTGCTGGGTTGTGAGCTCCACAATGGTGGGCATCCCAGTTGTTTTCTTCATTGCTATCCCCCAGTGCCTAGCATAGTGTCTGACACACAGTATTGCTCAATAAATATTTGTGTAAGGAAGAAAGCTAATAATCTCAAAGAGAAAAGAAGGAAGCAGTAATGATGACTAAGAACCCTTCCCTAAGTGATTCTGATGGTCTATCCTTATATCCCAGACTAAATAATCTTCCAGGTCCTAACTCTCAGATTCTATTTTATCCTGATTTGATT